GGAAAAGGAAGAGGAAGCGCTTGGAGCCAGAAAGTGATGAGGAGACAAATGATGAAGATGATGAAGTTGAATTGGAAGAGGACGACGAAGACAGTGATGCACCTCGAACGCGAACTGGGAGGTAAGTTTTAGTTTATCCTTTTTACGTAGAAGTCAAATGTGAGTTGATGCAGCTCATGCCTCTTATAGGCCATTGCGCAAGGCTGTGGTGAAGTCGAAGGCTGCGCTTGTTGAAGAAAGCGAAGATGAAGAGGAGAGTAATGAAAATGAGGATACAGAAAACGGTGAGCCTGAAGCCGAGAAGGATGTCCAAGATTCTAGGAAAGCTAAAAAGAGAAAAATCACGTTAGTATTTTTTGTTTGCAGTCCTATCATTGTGAGGTAGTTTGCCTTGTTTGTAGTTCTGATTCCGAATCGGATGTTTTCGTACCCGATGAGGACGCCGAAAATGATGAGGATGATGATGACGAAGATGAAGAAGAAGAGGAGGATTCTAATGCAATGGCCCGAAGGGCGCCACCATTTCCAAGCAAAATCTCGTCTGTTCCCAAACCCACAACAGCAGCGAAGCGCGCCGATGAGGACGATGAGGAATCTGATATGGAGTCCGACAATGATTTAGGTAGTGCTTCCTTTCTATTGCCCTTTTTTTTCGAAATATTCAGCTGCCTTCTTTCCACAGAATTGAAGCCGAAGGCCAAGAAATTACGCTTGGAGGATAAATCGGAAAATAATGCTGTCCCTACTTCCAATACTGCTTCGAGAGAGGTAGAGAATTGCTTGATCAACTCCGTATGGAGAAGAAAGCCGTTAAGGAAGTTTGAGCATTTTTCAGAAAAATGGTATTTCCTCTATGGAAGTGAAGCTGAAACCGATTGCAGCTCCTAATTCGCAAACGGACTCGAAGCTTTCTACGTCATTAACTCCAGCTGTAGAGCCAATTGTTGCGAAAATTAATACAACTGAGCGGAAGCCTCTGGCAGCAGAAGTAACTGAGTCGAAACCTTCACCTGTGCCAGCAAATAAGTCTTATGCAAATGAGAGGATGTCGTCTCCGACACTTCCTTCTGCTCCTAAATCTGCACTAGAGTCGAAGGAGGAAAAACCTCGTTCTACTTCGTCAATCTCATCTTTGAAAGAGGAAAAGCCTCGATCTCTATCATCAACTCTATCTTCTACGCCAGCTTCTAACCCCTATTTATCTGCTGCGATCATATCGGAAACGAAGGTTTTGGCTTCTACCATTTCATCAGTGCCAACTAGAGCAGATGGGGGGACGGTTGATACCCTGGCTCCATCGTACGTGACCAGTGAAAGGACTGCGAATGTGTAGGTTTTTTTTTTTGAGCTTATTTTTGGCACATTTATCATTGTGTGCCACTTCGCAGGTTTTTGGTTTGGTACTTTTTCGTCCAAAAGAAAATGCTTTTTCAGAGGGTTAACGCTAGTCCCTAATCCATATTCTGCGCCACCACTTCCTCAACTGCCTTATTGTTCGGGTGAATTGACTTTTTTTTTTTTAAAGCGTCCACATTAATATATAATACAGTGACTGCGCATTTATATTATTGAGAAGAATGTTACAGAAGAGTCTTGTGCAAGCGAAACAATCTTTTCGAACTGAACAAGTATGATTGGTTTTGAAGGTCTGCTTAAAAGTGATTCGTAATATTTCATAAAGGAAACCTTTGCCTCTTTGAACTTCTAGAAACCACTCATTCACTTTGTATCATTTACGCACTGTAACAAGGAGAGTAGAAGATATGTTTTTGCGTGCAAATCGAGGTAGCCATTTATGATGATTCATCAGGGTCTAGAACAGATTCGGAATTTTAAAAAAAAAGCTGTTAACGATCAAGCGGTGGGCACATTTCTTGGGGGGCACCGCATATATTCTTCTTTAAATCTTTTCTCTCGAATCAGATATCACGGTCTTATTTCATTTGACTTTCGTTTCAAAGGGGTTCTTTCAGCATAAATATCCGTTTCCAGGTCCTCAAGGTTCTATGCCGTTTGTAGCAAATCCCTACGCACCATATCCAAGTACTTCGCCATTTCCTCCTGGACCACCAGCTATGGGGCATCCTCACATTGGTTATATTCCCGGAGTTGTACCTAACCCTTACGGGCAGCAGCCGAGGTAATATTCGAGAATAGTTCCTTGACTTGATTTCTCTTCACGATTAATTCAGCATGCCTCCATCAAAAGGTGGAACTCGCGATCTTCGTTCCTTATGATAAGCACCCTCCATAATGTTTTTTCTTTCTTGAAACCGTGAGCTCAAAAGCGCTCGTAAGTACTCTCTTTATGTTATATAGAGCAGCATGCGTATTATTATCACTATTCTACATCATTCTTATAGAGCTGTTGTATTATCCTTTTCTCTATAATGTTTTTTTTTTTGACTTTTCAATCTGTGATACGGTTACAAAGACTGTGTGCATTTGCAAGTTTGATGTAATCACAGCGAAACTTCTCATTTTTCTTGTTCTACCATGTTTTAAGCTCGAATTTGATCTTTGTTTTACTCAATAGTATGTAACCGCTTGTGCTTGAATTGTTCTGGCCAAATGAGCATATGGTTTGATGCCCTTCTCCTTTAATGAATTCCGGTGTAAGCTGGCTTGTTTCCTTATGATCCTAGAAGGGGTGATACTCAAGACTTGATACTCAAACTTTTTAAAGCATACGAATGTGTCCACATGTATTCATACAACTGATGCGTTTTATGTTTATCCATCATCCGTTCAGTACAATGAATCTTGCAGTTGAATTTTGCTGTTTCAGATATTCGCTTTCAATTCATTAAAAATCAATTATTAAAAATTTACAACAAGGGATCGAATGAAAATATTATTGAATAAATAGTAAACAATTAAAAACATTATACTTCACTGCCAGTCATTCTTTTTAGATTAGATGGTGAGGGACGATGCACACACTTTTCTTGACAGAATAACTCTAGGCAGTCTAAATACGGTACATTCTTTTGCTGATGAAGAAGTGGGAGTGTATGGGAATGGGTTGGAGATAGTTCTCCTTGACTTCTTCTTTCTCGTAGATTATGAACTACTATGTGAACTGTCAAGGTGTACGTATACTTGTCGAATCGCATTTTGAAAGTATAGGGAGGCGACTAAGACGTCTAAATGGAAAATGCTATTGACTAGAAAACCTTACAAATAACTATGCAAGCTACCTTTCCAACAGCTTTCACACACTCCAAACACATTTTCATAAAGCAGCTTTTTAGATGGTTCTAGATTACAAATTGAGCACTTTCCAACTAAGTTTCTAAGTGGATAAATTGTCTCGTCTCCTACAAAGCTGAAAGAGAAGTGTTTGGTAATAAATTCATGGGAGTTCTGAGCACGTCATCGTTCAGAAATGTCTATTTCTGTTGGAGCGTTTGTTTAGAGTTTGCCATAATCGGCTCAACATATTCGGTTTCATCAGCGACAATATCGAATTAAATGTGGAAGTTCGGCAAATCATCAACATCATCATCAACGTCGTCTGCTTCTGGTTTTCCTTAATTTGACGGTAAAAGAAGTGTTTTATTGCGAAGGTGAGGGTGTACTGGTAATATTTAATGTTTCTGTTGTGCTCAACAGAACGGGAACTGCCGATTGGACCCTAAAGCATATGTTTTTTTTATTCAGAATTGAGGTTTTTCTGAACTTACGGCCAGAGAGATCTTAAGAAGGTCATTGTTAGCTCGCGTATGTCTTCATAACTATTCTAACGACATTTTGGTAAACTTCATGTTCGCAAAAATTAGCAGTGCCTCAAATTAGCAAATTTCCTCCAGTCTTATGGTTTTTAGGGCACTCTAACATTAACATCATGCCTAACTTTTGATGATCATATACTCACTGGAA